TTTTTTTCTTTGAAAAAATTTTTTGTTAAGCACTTTGTATAATATTTACTTTGATTTTTTTTATTTAACATTTTTTTTTTTTTTTAACATGGTTATTTTTAATATACTATTCCTCATTATAAAATATGCATAATATATTTTTTTATAGATAATTTTTGTTTTAATATATTCAACAATAATTAGCATAAAATTTTTATAAGTTTTTTATGAGCCATATATACCATAAAAAAAGGAAAAAAAGATTCTATTAAAAACAGAACAATACAATAGTAAAAAAAAAAAAAAAAATAATAAATTATGCTTTAATTTTTTGATAATTATAATTGAAAATTTTTTCATTATATATTTAATTGCAAAAATAATTTTTAAAATACATTTTTCTGTGAATATTTTATATAAAAATATATCTTTAAGTACTTAATTATACATTTATACTTTGGATATATTAAATGGATAAGTTTAAAAAATGCAGAAAAAGAAATTTTAGAAGCTTGAAGAAAAATAGATTTATTAAAAAAAATGATAAAGCAAAAGAAAAAATTAATAGTTCGCAGAATGATTTCATTACAAATATAATTATAAAATACCTGAATAATAAGAAAATTAAAAAAAAAAACAATGTGGAAGATACAAATGAATTTATTACAGAAAATGTGACTGAAAATTTGAAAGAAAAGCTATTTATGGGAAAGAAGATTGTAGAAACCGATTTAATTAATAATTGTTTAATTTATGATAAAAATGAAACACTAAAAAGAATTAGTTATAAAATTTTATATAATGTTATGAAGACATGCATTGATCATGAAAATGTATTAATGAAAGTAGAAGAATTAGGTTTTACAGCTGAAAATATAAGAGACAAAAATGATGAGACTATAAATATTTGTTCAAAATATAAAATTGACATTTTTTTTAATTATATATATAAAAATTTAAAAGTTATAAAAACTACAAAAAATTTTGACCTTTTATATAAATTAATGAATGTTATAAAATCAATTATAATTATTATTCCATATATATATAAAATAAAATTTCTGTTTTATTTTTGTTCAATCTTCAATATATATCAAAAGCATTATGAAGATAAAAATAATAAACCGTTGGAAAATATAAATACGAATGATAGAAACCACTCTATTATTTTAAATGTAAGTGAAGATGAATTTTTGAACTTATTTTTGGATTTAATTAACGACTTGATTAATTTAAAGGATAATTACAATAATTATGATGATAATTATTATATATTTAATTATTTTATTTTACGTTGGATATTAGTTTATTTTAAAAATAAATTCAATTTTTTTTCAAAAAAAAAAATATCTTCGTTAATTAAATCAAAATATATCATTTTATTATTTAGCATACTAAAACATTTGCATGAAAGCACAAATTTTAATTTAGAAAAGAGTGATGAAAGAAAAGAAAATTTATATATTAATGTTATTAAAGAAACAGAACAAGAATTATGTAAAATAGAAAATTTAAGGGAAGAAAAAAATAATTTATATGATAATGAAGATTTTCGTTTTACTGAAAGAAATTTTTTGGATAATTTGTGTATTAATCAAAATATAAAAATTGAAAAAATAAAAAAAAAAAAGGATTCAATAAAAAAAATGATAGAAAATTTTTATCATCAAGTGGATATGAATATAGAAAAAAGCATGAAAGAAGTGAAAGACACTATGAATACTTTAACTCAAAATATATTCATAACAATTTTTAATTTATTTCATCATTGCCATATTTTATATAAGCATGTGGTTTTATTATATTTCTCATTTCATTTTTTAAAATTATCAAAATTCGATTATTCATACTTTATAATTTTCAATTCATTTCAATTTTTAAATAAATTATTAACAGTTCATAATTTTTTAATTCATTCATTAATATTTTTGGCTATTCAAGAAGTTCTGACACTTTATGAAAATGTAATTATTCATTTATATAAAGAAAAAAACGATTTAAGTGAAGAATTTTATCAATTTTTTGATAAGTTTAATAATAAACATAAAAATTTATATACCAATATTATAACAAGAGTGTGGAATTTGTATATGCTAATAATTTCTGATGAGTATAAAAAAAGAGAAAGAAGCAATTTTGATGAAAAAAAATACCAAAATATTAACGCAATAAAAGAACAAACGAATACAACTAATACCAATAAATTGACATCTGTAATAAAAATTAATACTTTAGAATTTTCAAATGAATATAAAGAATTTTTACTGAATAATATAGATGAAAATTATAAAAATAATTTAACTAATTGCTTAACTAAGTCTTTTCGAGTTTTAGGTTTAGATTTTTTCTTGGAAGAATATTTTTTTTTTTGTAGTAAAGAATTATTATCAGAAGATATATTCATTTTAAATAGAATTTTTAAGGATTCCAACAAAACATATTATGGTGGTAATTTTAAATTTTTAATGAATTTTTGTTATCCATTATTGATATTCTATATTGATTTATATGAAAAAGAAGAGTTGGCTTTAAAAAAAAAACAATTTTTAACATATATTAAAAATTTATTAATTCATTTTTCATGTTCTTTAAATGATTGTATAAATTTATACTATTTCTTATCTACTAATATTGAAGATTTATATGTATTAGTTACAAAATTCGTTAACTGTAATGATTTTAATTTATTGCCACTTTTTATTAATTTTTTTGAAAGATTTTATTTATCTACCATGAAAATAAAGGAGAAACATAATTTCTTGCCATATTTTTCAAGAAATAAAATGAAGGATATAAAATGTAAATATACAAATATAAATTTAAAAAAAAATTGTTTTTTTTTAGAACAAATAACAGATAATTTATTAAAAATATTGCTGCCAAGATTTATTTCCATTCTATCAATTAATTTTGAAAAAAAATTTTTATTTAATAAAGAAAAAGATAGCATTGAGGATACACATATGGCTGTTGAAAATTTTTCAAATCTCATACATTTATGCTTGCATTTTTCATCAAATACAAATTTTAATGAGATTTTAATTATAGTAGAACAACTTATATCAAGAAATGAAATTGAAAATGAAATATTTGCATTAATTAGCATTTTGACTGTCCTGAAAATTTTTATTCCTTTTTTTTCATTTGATCAAATCAATAAGGCCTCATTTTATTATATAAAATTACTTCAATCAGTAAACATTCTTTTGAATAATAAACTTTCTAATTTTAGCCTTATAAATAGAGAAGAGAATTTAAGTAGAATAAATAATAATCAAATTAAAAGTTGTAATCAAACAAAAACAAGCCAAACGAATAATGAAAATGATATAAATTATAATATAAATAATTTGAATCAGTTAAATATTGATAATGTGAATAAATCGAATAATATAAATAGTGACATAAATGATACTAACCAATTAAATAATAATAACACAAATACTTTAAATAATTTAAATTGTAACGTAAATTACTTAAATCAATTAAATAATAATATTGTGAATAATTTAGATAATTTAAACAACGGTGTAATTTATAATATAAATGATTTAAATAACATGAATGTAAATAATTTAAGTAACAGAAACATAAATATAAACGACTTAGATCAAATTAATAATAAGAAAGATAAATGTTTAAATGAAATAAAAACTGTTAACATTAGAGATATAGGTCATTCTAAAAATAAATGTAATATTAATAATAAAAAAAATAAAAATGGGAAAAAAAAAAATGCTAAAAATATAAATATTAGTATTAAAAATTCTTTTGCAAAAGAAAAAAAAAATTCATTAAAAAAAGAAAAGTTAAAAAAAATGAAAATTAAGAAAAATATTAAAGAAGATGTAGAAAAGTTGAAATTTACTAAAATTTTAATTTTTGATAATGTTGCTATTTTATATAAATATTTTGGAAATATATTTTTAAAAAAGAAAAAGATATTACTTCTAAACGATAATACTAAAAGAAAAAATAATTTAGAAAATGAAATGTTTTATTTAAATAGCAATGAAATGGATATTTATAATAATATATATGTTGATAATAAAATAATCGAATATAAGTTACCTTTAATGATACAAAAAGAATATATTCTCCTTTTTTTTGAAAATATGCATAATTATAATATAAATAAATATATTAAAAAGTTTTATTTATATATAAATTACTTAACATTTTATTTGAAAGAATGTAAAAATTTTGATATTTCTTATTGCAATAATTTGTTTTTTCAAATTTTACCAATAATAATGAAGTCTTTATTTTATATAAATAAAAAATTTACAACAAAATTAAGAAAAAATTGTTTATTTGAAAATATAATTCAAATAGGAATAGCAGATATAAAAAAGTTATTTTTTCATGTAACTCCTGGTTTATTATTAGAAGAAAATAACTGTAAAAAAATATCAATGTACATTTTGTATTTAGTAATTAAAAATTATAAAATTGAATATGATGATCAAGTAAAAATATTTGATATATGTTTAGCTTTATCAAATACAAATGAAAATAATATATTAAAAACATATTTAAAATTTCTTTTATCATGTATGAATATATTTAATAATAAAATTATTTTAAATAATACAAATAATTTAATAAAAATTCTAAATGATATATCATATAACAAGTCATTTAGGTTTTTAATTGAAAAATTCCTATTAAAATTAAATAGCTCACTAGAAATAAATGTATTAAAAAATTGTTTATCAAAATCAAACAGAAAAATTTTTAATAAATTAATAAGAAAAAAAATTGATAATGATAATAATGAAAAAAGTAAAAATAAAAGAAAAGAAATAGAAAAGAGAAAAAGAAAACTTAACAATGGTTATATATCTTCTTCATCAGAAGCTTCATTATTATTATCTCATCCTTCATCTCATTCTAGCTCAGATGAATCCTATATAGAATCTAATTTAAGTGATAATAAAGATGATGATATTATGGAGAAAATGAAAAAACAAGATAAAAAGAATATAACACCTCATAAAAAGAAGGAAAAAATTAAATTAAATAATAAACTAAAGAATAACGTTAAAAAAAAAAATGAAAATAAAAACTTAAAGGATTTTTTTGAAACATTGAAAAATTCAAGAGGAGAAAAAGAGACAAATTACATAAAATCTATTTTAAAACAAATTTTAACAAATAAAAAGAAAAAAAGACAAAATAAAAACTTTAAATTAAAATATAATCAAAATGTTAGTAATATACTTAACAATCTACAAATATCTATTTTAAAAAAATATAAAAATTTAGATTTTTCTTTAACTAAACAAAAAGAAATAAATGATTTATTTCGTGAACATTATTTTATTAAACAAAATAAAAATAAAACAAAAAAAAATAAAAAAGAAAATGTTAGTGATTCCTATAGTGAAGATAATTTTGAAATAAATAATGAAGGAAAAATAGTTATACCTTTAGTAGATTCATCCTCCTACTTAAAAATCAAAAAAAAAGATGAATTACTTAATAAAAAATATAATAACTTGAATGAAAAACAAAATATGCATTCTAAATTTAAGTTAAATAGAAAATCAAAAAATACTAAGAAAAAAGATTATTTTGTTACAGCAGATAAAAACTTATATAAATCGAAAAAAGGAGAAGGAGATATTATCAAAAAAAATAAATTATTACCATATTCTTATGTAGCTTTAAAACCAATTATGACAAAAGATAAATTCAGAGCGAAAACATTAAATGCTTTTAGATCCATTAAAAATAATTCCAAAAGAAAAAATAAAAAAAGACGTTAAGAAAAAACAGGATGAATGAAAAGAAATGTATGCTTTACATATTTTTTTCTCTTTTTTTTTTTTTTTTTAAATGAAGAAAAAAGTTATATATGTGTGAATATGTACTTAAGAAATACAGAATAAAACTATATTTGTAAGGTTTATTATTTTGTAAATGTTAATTTTTAATATTATAATAATATTTTTATTTTATTTTTATTTATAATTTTTTACTTGTTACACATGTTACAAGATAAAAAAAAAAAAAAAAAATTCACAAATGAATAAGAAAGTTGTAAATTTTGAATTCTTATTTTAATAATCTAATGATAGATATTTAATTTTAAGCAAAATCATCTTTATATTATGAAATTATTACTTTGAATTTAAAAATTTAGAACAAAAATAAGAAAATTAAATTATTATAATATTTTAGTATTAGTAAGTTTTTGTTCGTATATATTTAAAGATTTATAAGTTTTTTTTTTTTTTTTTTTTTTTTTTTTTT